AGGTATTTACGATATGTTGTTTTTATGTATAAGTTCTCACTATTGATTATTGTAATGAAGTGCAAAGAGTGTGTGTTGAATAGTTGAGTAGTGAGGAAACAATACAATGAGGCAACATCAAAACAATACGGAGCCTGGATATAGCTAGGCCTTTAGCACACGCTCGAGGCTTGGCTGAGCTGAGACATGTGGTTTGTAAATTGTCGCGAAGCGCCCATATTTAGGCATGAAACTGCAAGGTGGGCAACATGCACGCGACTCGTCAGGAGACCATAATTGGGTGTCGTGATTTGAATTTCGTGGCAGACTGCGCGACAGCCCCTTTATAGCAGTGTATGCATTACTAACAAAAACCAAGGATAAGGAAATACCATTTCCTTAAACTCTCCCCCCTCATATGTGTGGTCTTAACTAAGATCGCCGTCGTCGTGCACATTGCGTGACTGGAGGTAGACTCGTAACACCGAGTCATTCTCGATCTGTGCCAGGGGCACCAAATTGTTTTCCAAGGATGTCCGGTCCTTCCATGATACCAGGAAATCAATCACGCGAGCCCTTTGAGGGTCCTTCATCCCATGGCTGAGGATCTTCGCAGGTTCATTAGTCGGCTCGGCGAGCCGTCAGATGCTTGGGTTGGCTCAATGACGTGGTGATTTGCTGGTGTTGGCGATGTATGGTTGTAGTAATCGCACGTGAAACGATAGGCTGATGTTCCAGGGGGCAAGTAACAGTAGATGGGCTGTAACGGAGTATATCATGGATTGTAAACGGTCCACAGAAGCAGGGGCGAGTTTTGGGACTTTAGGCAGTCGAAGGTTTGGGTATCGAGCGGTACTAAGTCTCCGGCTTGGTGAGTCATGGCTCGGCAGTGTAAATCCGCGTTACGCTTAGAGGTAAAATTTGCGTGCTTAATAGCTTCGGCTGCTCGCTCTTTGGCATTCTGTAAAATTTCCGCAAATTGCTGGGCTCGGGGTGCAAGATTCTCGATGTTGGGAGTGATGGGTGCTTTGGGGAATTGTCCGTAGTTCAGGTAAAATGGAGACTATTAGGTAGTGGCTGACGAGGCATTGTTACATTCAAACTCAATCAGTGTTGCTGCTCCCAGCTAGCCACGTCATTACAGGTGTCGCGAATCGGCTGCTACGTTGTTTGATTGGCTCGTTCTGTCTGTCCGCCAGTTTCGTGGTTAGAGGTGGAGGAGAAATGTAGGCTTGTGCTGAACTGGTCCCACTGATTTGTCAGAAGTTGCTGGTGAATTTCGTGTCACGATCGGAAATGATGGCGGATGGGATGCCGTGGAGGCGAAAGACAATTGAGATGAAGAGGCGGGAAGTTTCTTCGGCTGAGATGATTTTCCTGCAGGCAGCAAAATGAGCCATCTTAGTCAGCTTGTCGACTACAACAAATATCGCGTCATTGTAGCCGTCCTGGGTATGCAATCTCGTAATGAAATCCATCGTCACCTGCTGTCACGCACGCTCGGGCAGCGGAATCGATTGCAACTGCCCCGCTGGCTTCTGCATCGATAACTTTATGGTTTAGCATGTTCTGCACGAAACCACATGCTGCTGCACGCCCCCTTGCATGTCGGGCCATAAATAATATCTTGTCAACTGTTGCTGTGTCTTTTCTACTCCAAAGTGCCCTAAGACTGTAGTGTCGTGGGCTTCTTGCAGTAGTAACTCCCGTTATAAACTATACTCTGGTACCTAGATGCGGTCAGTCCCTGTCTTTACATTATAGACTCCCTTAGCCATTGCAAGCTGTTTGTACGTAGCCGATGTAAATAAACTGTCACATCCGCGCCTGTCAGATAACACCGCCACACTTTCAAGGCATGCACAATCGCGAGCATCTCCTTGTCGTGTATCGAGAAGTTTCGCTTCGGCGGGTGTAACTTCCGTGACTCGTATGCGATTGGATATAGACTGTCGCCAAAGTCATATAATAGTACTGCTCTGATGGCGATGTCGCAGGCATAAGTGATGACTTCGAACGGACGGTGAGGATCGGCAATGCGAAGGTCAGGGGCTGAGTATAGAAGAGTTTTGAGCGTGGAGAAGGCAGCTTGTTCTTTCTCCCCCCACCTATACTCAGTCCCTTTACGCGGCAGGTCGGGCAATGGTGCAATTACCCCTGAAGTTGGTCGAGAAGAATCTAGCTGTCTGAAGTTGGTCTATCATTTTGTCGACGCGAGGGATGGGGTAACATGACTTGATAATCACTCGGTTCAGTGCTTGGTAATCGGTGCACATTCGGTACCCTCCGTCTTTGTTGGGTGTGAACAATATGGGGGCGGCAAAAGGTGATCAGATCGGGCTGATGAATTTCTTCTCGAGTTATTCATCCAGCTGCTTCCGTAATTCCTCTAACCTCGGCTGAGTGAGTCGAGATTGCCGCTGAATTGTTGGTTGTGTCCCTGGTTCTAATCATATTCGATGGTCGAAGGGTCATTCCGGTGGTAATCCCTCAGGCAAGTCGTCTGGAAATATTTGCGAAAATCTGCAAGTCAGTTGCGCGAGGTCGGCCGGCACAGCTGCTGTCAGCTTCTCTAAATCAGACGTCTGCAATGCCACGTCAACTGTGCGTTCGACTACATGCGAAGACTCCCCGTTCCCCGTGCGACTGCTCGTTAGATCGCCACGGAGTTCACATGTGTCACCCCCCTTGTGACCCCCTTCGTCCATCCCAGCAACACTACACTGCAGCCGTTGATTTTCACGGAACAACTGCAGCCAATCCCGACCGAACGGCATATCAAAGCCGTCGAGTGTAGTTGACAGCATTCCCATCGAAAAGTTGAAAGTCAGCTTCACGCCGTAGCCTACGATTATTGCTAATTGTGTCCCGTCGACTAGGCGGCCATCGATCTCCGGTAGACACCTGTCTTGGGGTAACTCTTTTTTTTTTTGTCGTAGTGAGGTTGATGAGGCTGTGGATGGCACCTCCGTTCACGAAGATTTTATTTTTCTCCCCTTGAACCCTACCCTCAAAATGAATTGGTTAATCTGCCGCTGCACCCTCCTTATTCTGCCGGGTTTGGTCGATCGCGTGAATCGGTACCATAACTCAATGAAGGTCGTCGGTCATGGATTAGCAGATTCCATCAGCAGCCGGCCTGTTAACTACTGGCTTTAAGTGTTTCGTTGATTGTTGAAACTCCCCTGCCCCTGATTCCTCTTCTTTTGCTCCTTTGGGCATTCCGACTTGCGATGTCCCGACCTGTTACACGAATAACTGCTGAGTTCGAGGTTGTAACAACGTATACAATGGCATGCTCGATTGGTCCCTGAGTGCGATTTCCATCGTAGGAACCCGCGTTTGGCTTGAAGAACGAATCCAACCGCTCTGCAACCCTCTGCACATCCATCAAATCTGTAATTTCCCGCACTTGTAATTCTCGGCACAGATCCGGCCGAAGGCCCCCAATGTATCTGTCGAACTTCTCGTCACGGTGTATGTAGCCGACCTGATCGCATATATTTTTCGAGCTGCTGGTATAGTCCTGGATTGATCCGAGTTGGCGCCACGTGCAAAGGCGGTCGCACGCCTAACTGTTTGCGTTGACGTATTCGAAGCGGCGACGAATACCCGCGCACCACGATTGCCACGTGCTGTACTCGTCCACCTCGCAAAAACTTCCTGCCCAATGATTGGCCATGCCAAAACGCACGATCATGCGCGACATCATATCCGATTCTTGCTATTGTATTATCTGATGCCACCAATCCATTGCCAATCCACGTAGCAGTGAGACAACGTATCGAATATTATGCGAATATTCTACGACGATGTTGCATTCGTAAAAAATGTTTACATGGATCCATCCGGTTACGGATAAACTACCATGCTGGCTTGGGTCGAACGTGGACGGCCTCTAGGTCTTGAGTATTCCCGGCGACGTGCTGACATTTGCAGTTTGCAGGCCAACGGGAGAGGTAATTGTGGGCGTCGGGTTAACATTCGCCCCTTCGCCAATTTATGTTCGTCCAATGATCGGTGGCAGGTTGTTAGTCGAGCCCTCGGACGAAGCTGCACGTGGGTGTTGATTGTCGCGAGGTATTTTGAAACACTTTTGAGTAACTTGCTCGTGTTGTCCTTGGTTTGTCATTGGTGGAGTCGTAATGTGTTGTGTCTGGTGCATTCGGCTTCGTTGTGCAAATATTTCGGATTCAGCTCGGGCTGTTTCAGCTCACAGACGCGCCAACTCCTGTTGATACAACTCGTTAGTAAGACGCACTTCCTCGAGTACTGCCGCCCTTTCTTCAGCAGTCATGGCGTTAGACGACGACGACTCCACCATTTCGTGGAAGTTTTGGGCGGCTTCCGGCACGCTGGCACTGCAAACACAGTCGTGGCTGTAGGCAATTATCGATTAATTTCAGCAAGACAGCGGATATGCAGTAAGCAATGGGCGTCAGCCTCCCTTAGTGTCGGTAACGCAACGGTACTAAAGCGCAAGGCTGAGGATCGTTGGCTCTGATGACCAGGTGTAATGAAGCGCAAAGAGCGTGCGTCGAATAGTTGAGTAGCGAGGAAACAGTACAATGAGGCAACATCAAAACAGAGCCTAGATATAGCTAGGCCTAGAGCACACAGTTGAGGCTCGACAGTGCTGAGACGCATGGTATGTAAATTTGCGCGAAGCGCCAAGCTAGATCTAGGCATGAAACTGCAAGGCGGGCAAAATGCATGCGGCTTGTCAGGACACCACATTCGGGTGCCGCGATTTGAATTTCGTGGCAAAGTTGCGCAGCAATCCCGTTATAGTTGTGTACGCCTTACTGACTTCAACCCGGGATAAGGAAATACCATTTCGTTACAATTATTCACGTTTCCAGCCATTCATCTCCGTTACTGGGCCATTCGGCTACACACCGAATGTACAGTACACACCCCAGCAACAACACGAGCCGGGATGGATTTGGGGGTGCTCACATTCACCATGTCTTCAGGATCCTTCCCCGGCTATTGTGCGTCCCAGGCGTTTCTGACTGTACTGGAGAAACGGCTGCACGCAAGTTTCGAGGGCACGTGCTTTCCTGCCTGCAGGGTTACGTGGTATGTTCCGTGATCGTCAATGAAGCTATCCCAACCCATACCGTTGCCCTGCAGCGCCTGCATTCACCGATCGCCTCGTGCGACTTAGACTCACCTGAGTTGTTTTGAGCCAGTGTGAGGCATCTCGCAGTCATCGTGCATGATGCACCCGAACACCGACGTGCACCGATCTCTATCCCGTCGGAGCCTTTCGTCCCAGTCAGTCGTCCCGCCGTCTGACTCTCCCGACCTCGGCGTCACCCTGAGCGACCCACTCGTTACGGACTCCTCCGTTAGTAGCTTATCGGCAAATACCTCCTCCAGTACATCCTCCTTAGTTGCTTCCTCCGTCAAAATCTCCTCCTCGTCCTCCTTTCCTTCCCGCCAGCCGTCGAGTCCACAAGCATCCCCGTTTCTCTCCGCTTGTTTCACATCCCTCTCATCCAACGTCCCGCTGCTCCCCTGCTTGCCGCTGCTCTGGATCCTGGCCTTTGGATTGACCCTCCTATCGCTGGACGCCACGTGGCAGCTGGAGAAGGCACAATGTCACGCTGTCAGGCCTCGGGGCGAAGGCGAAGGCTTGACAACAGCTGACTCGGACGTCTTCGTTGACCCCGTTTACCCAGAAACACGACGGAACGACCAGTCGCCCTGCGACCCGTGGAGTCGTCGCAACCAATCAGATCTCCCCCCTTTCACCAGTGCGCGAATGGCAGACCACGAGAATACAGCTACCCCCAGCGAATCCACTGGCGAACGGGTTACATTGGCTGGCGTTTTCGCGGAGCTGTTCGTGGCGCCGCGGCCGTTCGCAGGGCGGCGGGGGAGGAGGCAGCGAGCGGCGCTGGCGTCGTGGTTGCAGCTACAGCCGCCCGTCCGCGTGGTGCTGGTGGGCCGCCACGCGAGCTTCAGGCGTGTTGCTGAGAGGCACGCAGGGCGAGTGGTGGTGGAGGAGGATGTTGATATGAGGTAGGAGCATTGACTCGTAGGAGCATTGTCTCGTAGGAGCATTGACTCGTAGGAGCATTGACTCGTTTGAGAGCTGGTGGTGCTGGTGGGCCGCCAAGCGAGCTTCCACCTTGTGGCCGAGAGACATGCAGGGCGAGTGGGAAGAGGTCGACATGAGGTAGGAGCATCAGCCTGTGTGAAAGCTGACATGAGGAGGAGTGATCTTTTGATTTCTCACTGGTCGGATAACTCATCATACCACTCCCCCACCACCACCCCCCCTCTCTCTTACTGCCCTTTGTCCCCCTCCCCTAGCTTTGCCTCAGGCCAGCCCTTAGCCAACAGCCTCTTTGCTCGCGCCCGAGCCTCCCGTGCAGGCTTGGCAATTGTCCTGACCGACCCTGAGGCTGTGCTACTGCCAAGCCTGAGCATAGCTTTGGAAAAGATGAGGGACGTGCAGGGAGACTGGCTGCTTGTGGCAGGCGCGTGGAAGGATGAGCCAGGCTCAGCAGGAGGCTCAGCAAGAGGCTCGGCAGGAGGCTCGGAATCTGGTTCGGTTGAGTGGAGGAGGATCGGGGCGGGTAGAGCTGGCGGGAGGAGGGAAATTGGGGGAGAGGAGGATGGGAGTGAGGAGGAGTATGCTTGGGTGGTAACCAGTGTAACAGGAGTGTCACGTCAGCTGAGCATGGAGGAGGCACTACGTCCCTTCCAGTCCTCCTCCCTCTCTCACCCCCCCTGCTCGTCCCCCCTCCTATGGGCGTGGAATGTGGGCCCCACGCCCCTCCTCTCTGGCCCCATGCCCCCATTCCGCCTGCTGCAGCCGAGCACACAGGGGGAGGGGAAGGGGGGGGAGGGCGAGGGGAAAACGGTAGAGACTGCTGGTTACCACACAGCGTTTCCCTACCTGCGGGCCGTGTGGCAGCGGTGGCTGCTGCACGAGTGCCTCTCGTCGCCCCTCCGCCTCGCCATCGACGCCTCCCCCCTCATGCCAGCTGCTCTGGTCGGAGGGGCTCTTGCTGCACACAGGGAGGTGATGGTGGAGAGGGAGGAGGAAGAGGAGGAGAGGGAGGAGGGGGGCGGGGAAGGGGAGGAGGGAGAAGCGGAGGGAGCAGGGGGGGAGGAGGAGGGGGAGGTGGAGCTGAATGCCCACTTTGCGATGTCATATGGTTCCTTTCCCCTTTCTCTCTTCGCACACTCCACCACCGACCGTCCCTTGAACAAGCCGACTAGTGTTAGAAGCAGTGCAGCAGAGCAGCAGCAGCATCGACACTACCAGCACCAGCAGCAACAGCAGAAACACAGCACGCCGCGTTTTTCACTGGCTGATGTGCCGTGGGCCCTTGTCCCCTGCTCCTACCCCGGCGCTGCTGGCTTCTGCTTCCAGCAACGGGAGAAGCAGCAAGAGGGAAGGGGGCCAAGGGGCAGACGAAGCGGGGGAGAGAGTGAGGGAGACGGAGGAAGAGCCGGTGAGGAAGAGTCAGTGTCGTGTATGGGGGGGGCGGAGAGGGAGGGGCTGGTGCAGGCAGCAGCGGCGTGGAGGAAAGAGGGGGTCGGGTTGAGGAGAAGGCGCGAGGCTAAGAGGAGAGAGGTGCAGCTCGGGGAAGGAGGAGGTGAGGGGGAAGGAGAGGGCGCTGGGGAGGGTCGGGGAGGGGGTGGTAAAGAACGGGGAGAGGGGGAAGGGACGGGTGCAAGAGAGAGAGAGGGCGCAGTGGGGGCGAATGAAGTTGAGAGACGTGAAAAGCGTGGGGATATGAGTGGGCGTGTGGGTGCAGGAGCAGCAGTGGGTGGGGAAGCAGCAGTGGGTGGGGAAGCAGCGGTGGGTGCTTTAGCCTTTGAGAGAGTGGAGCATGATGAGGTGATGCTGCGCGTGCTGAGGCAGGTGACGGGCGGGGGCAAGGAGAGGGGCAAGGCGAGGGGCAAGGCGAGTGGGAGGGCGAGGGGCAAGGCGAGGGAGAGGGCGACTGGGAGAGGGAGTGGGAGAGGGAGTGGGAGAGGGAGTGGGAGAGGGAGTGGGCAAAGAGAGGCGGAAGGGTGGGGAGCAGGGGCAGCAAGGACAGTGGGGGCAGATGGGGCAGCAGGGGCGGCAGGGGCAGCAGGGGCAGGAGGACTGGAGAGGGATGAGGAGCGGACGGTGGTGCTGGCGGTGGTGGCGTCGAACTACAAGGAGATGATGATGAGCTGGCTGTGCGGGCTGCGCCGCCTGCACGTGCACAACTACGCCGTCGCAGCCATGGATAAAGAAACCTTTGACTTTGCCCGGGAGCAGGGCCTCCCGGTGTTCCCCCACGCGTACGATGATGCGTTCAGCCGCGATGACTGCCATTTCGGGACCGACTGCTTCTTGAATGTGACTAAGGTGAAGTCTCGGGCTGCGCTGCGGGTGTTACGGGCTGGTTACCACGTGCTGTTTAACGATGCCGACATCTATTGGTTTGCGGATGCGCGGCCGATTGTGATGGGGTATGGGCCCGGGCACATGGTGGTTCAAAGCGACAACCATAATGATACGGGCCCGGATAACGACTATCGACGGCTCAACTCGGGGTTTTACTTCCTTCGGTCGGAGCCTCGTGCGCTGGCGGCTCTTGAGGCAGTGGTGGCACATGCAGCAGCATCCCCCATAACAGAGCAACCCAGCTTCTACGATGTGTTGTGCGGAGCTTCTTCAGAGTACACTGTTGGCGACTCGCAGTGCTTAAATCCTCGGTTCAACCTCACCGTGGATTTCCTCGATAGAAACAGGTTCCCTAATGGTGCAACGCGTCTGTTGTTCCACATGGGAAATAGTGTTCGAAGAGGGTGCGAAGAGATGGGTTGCGTTATAATCCATAACAATTGGGTGTCTGGGAGACGAAAGAAGATACGGAGGCAGGTGAAGCAAGGGTTGTGGGACTATGATGTTGGGGCACGAATGTGCATTCGCTCATGGTACAATTCTACAATGCAGCATATATACTAGTAAGGATACAAGTTGACAAGTGGTGCATACAAGTGGGATCATAATATTCCGTTGTTTGTGGTGTTTCATAGTGTTGGGCTGAGAATAGCCCTAGGATCTTTTCAGAATGCTAAGTCCTTGTAACAGAGTGCTTGGTAGCACAGCGGAAGTCTTGAGTTGAACAATTTGTTAAATTATATATTTGATATATATATATACATATAATGGTAGGCTTGGTAGGTGTTACTGGATTTTACTGTAGGGGGTACAACCCCCCTTCTTGTATCCCTCTTTCTATTCCAAGTCCCTTCTCTCTCGACATTTTCCTAGCACCTAAAACCTCTCGCCATTCATGGCGTCTCTTCCTACCTGGCTAGCTTTGACATGGTTTCAGAGCGGGAGGTCCGCCCTGCTGGGCCACCTCCTCACGCTTCCGCACATTCCGCTCCTCGCTCCCGTCCTTTCCGCGCCGCCGCCACGGCCATGTCGAGCTGTCGTGATGGCGCCGTCGTGCTGCCGTGGCGGCGTCTACGCGCCAGCGCGCGGACGACGCGGACGGCAGCGACCTGCGCCCGGTCTTAGCGCTGGCCAACACGCCCGCATGCAGCCAGCGCGCCACACGGGGCGGTACGCTCCCGGGCTCCGCTGCTGAAGCCCCGCCCCCCTTTCCCTGCGTCCCCTCTTCCTCGCTGCAGCCGACAGCTGACTCGCGCCGGCCGTCCCACTGTCGCGGAGCCCGGCCACGCCACCGAGTGTTGCGAGCTCCGCCGCCGCCGGCAGCTGTCGTCGAAGCCGCCGCCGCCGCAGCTGGTGCCGCTGGCCATGCCGCGCACGCCGCCGCTGTCTACGCTGCAGCCGCTGCCCTCGCTGTCGTCGTCGCCCCGCCTCACGCGCCATGGGGTTGACCATGCTGGAGTAGCCGTCGCTGCTGCTGAGTATGGGGGTGCTAGGGGGTGTGTGGGTTAGTGTGCTGTGTGTGTGGTGGGCTTTCAGCTACCAAGCCTAGGGGTGTGTTAAATTATATATTAGATATATATATATATATATATATATAATGGCAGGCTTGGTAGGTGTTACTGGATTCTACTGTAGAGGGTACAACCCTCCTTCTTGTATCCCTCTCTCTTCTATTCCAAGTCCCTTCTCTCTCGACATTTTCCTAGCACCTAAAACCTCTCGCCATTCATGGCGTCTTTTCCTACCCAGCTAGCTTTGACACCCTTGTATTGGTATGTGAGAACAAGTGATTGATTATAGCAAAGGGATACAAGGTTTATATAATAATACAAGAGGATATGAAGAGTCTAACTATTTGTGCACTTCGAGGGGTACATTCCCTTTTACAATTCGATAATGCGACTCGGGTAACCACCTGTACTGTAATATCCGGACGATTATTTGTCCTTGCTGCCGCGCTGACTCTTGACTCTTGCGATTCTGACTGTTGTATTGCATGGTCAACGGACTACGACCGTTGCCCTTTCGTAACCTCTGTGAGGTTTCGTCAATCTGTGTGAATCGTCGGGGGTACTGTAGCAGTGTTGACTCGGTAATCCTCACTGTTGTAGTCTTTGCGTATTTCGTACACTCACGCGAGATTCTGGAAATGCCTTTTAAGTCCTTTTATCATTTCCAACACCCTCCTTCATTTCTGGAGTGTCGATGTGGTCGAGGTCGCTGACGTGTTGCAGTCCAGTCAGCAGCATGTAGTACTGGAACTTGGCCTTCATCAGCTTCTTTGTCAAGTAGTCGGCTGCCATTTCAGTGGTGGGGCAGTAGAGCAATTGGAGGCGGCCCTGCTCGATCTCGTCTTTCACGAAGAAGTAACGAAGCGAGATGTGCTTCGTCCTGTTCGCGAATCCATTTTTGTTGGCGATTCTGATTGCCGATTGGTTGTCGCAGACGAGAGAGAAGCTCGGTAACTAGGCGATCTTCGCTTCTTGGAGCAGCTCGCGCAGGTACAGTCCTTCCTTTGTAGTTGCGCAGATGGCGATATATTCAGCTTCAGCAGATGAGAGGGCGATAATTCCTGCTTGATGAGAGTGCCATGAAATAGCCGATGAGTTCGATTTTAGTAGCGGCGTTCTTGTGGTAGGTTAGCCCGATCGTCGGGGTCGAAGAGAAGTAGTGGAGCGCGCGGTCGAGTTCGGTCAGATTCCCCCCTTCAGGTTGCTTAAGGTAGGAAGCGAGCTGGCTAGCTGCGTAGGAGAGGTCGGGACGGCAGGTGACGGCGATGAATAACAGTCAGTCGAGCTTCTGTTGGTAAACCTGGATACCGACCGGTGCGAGTAGCGAGGCGGTCGACGCAGGTGCTGGCGGCGCATAGGTGTACGGAGTAGCGACAGGTAGCGAGGACAGATCGAATCTGTGAGCGATGGTATCGGCATACTTCAAGGCCAATAGGTGAATGGTGTCGGGGCCGTCGGTGACGTTGAGGCCGAGGTACTGCGTCACGGTCGGCGACACCGTGATCGTGAGCTGGAGTTACAGCTCGCCCTCGAACCAGACGGAATGGATAAAAGATTGCTCGGCGTCGGTCGGTGGTGGTCCATCGACGGTTTCTGGGACAGGCGGAACTTCTTCGACAAGTGGTGCCGACAAAGGTCCAGCGACGGGGCTTCCAGGAAGTTGTCTTGTCGGGGCTTGTGGTTTTGCTTCGTGCTGTTCTGCTTCTCATTCCTGTGCTTCTTGTTCCTCTCCTTCTTGCATCACTGCTAATGCTCGGGTACTTTTTGCCTCAGGGATGGTGTTGGAGTACCAGAAGCCATCGCGGTCGAACCTAGGGTCAAGGTCCGGCGGGTGCGTCCAGGGCGTGAAGGAGACGACGCCGTCACTGTCGGCGGTCCCGCGGTCTGGAACGAAGTCCAAGGCGAAGACTCCGTGCTTCTGGATGACTCTGCCGATGAAGAGTCCGCCCTTCCCGTGGTAGAGTCGGAACTCTCGATCGAAGCTGTCGCACTCCAGGTGAATGCCTTTCGGCATTAGTTGGCTGGCGCTTAGTAGGTTGTATCCAAGGTTATCGACAACAAGTACTCGTGACATTTGTAGTATCACGTTTGTCTCGCTTGACTGTAACTGAATGACGCCCTCCTTCCTTGTGCGCAGGTTCTAGTTTTTGGCAACAGTAATGACTTCTTCACGAATCAAAGCTTTCTCTTGCTGGACGAAGCGTGTCGAAGAACACATGTGCTGTCCACAGCAGCTGTCGAGGAACTACAGTGGCGAAAACAATTGTCCGTATGTTTTGCAAAAAATTGGGTTTTTTTGTTTAAGACCACTATACATTAAGCCTTGATGTTTAATGGTGATACGATTTGGGAGGGGCACATAGTGGATGTGTTCATAGTACAAATAACCAGAATAGTACATTGAATCTAACTCATATCTCAAAAGATATACAAAGGGTACATCTGGACAAATATTTCCAAGCAGAGAGAGCAAACTTCATAATTGCGTATTTGGTACATAGCCCACCGATCTTTGGCCTTGATCACCACCCGCACCCTCCTAGGCATGTTACCTACGAGGTTAGTACAAACCTCGGCAGGGAACTTCTTGCACTCTTCCTGGACCCACCATTTAGCATAAGGGGGTGAGCACAAGGAAAATCGCGAAAAAAAGTTGGGCGTAGGCAAGAGTATTGTGGACGAATTTGGATTGAATGGTATCTTTGAGATTAGCCATGCTGAGGTGTGGCCAAAGATGCAATTATCCGGTCGGGCCCATCTTATCACAGATCGTCTTCATCGTCTTATCAAGGCCAAAGGTCGGTGGGCTAGGAACTAGAAACACACTTTTGAAGTTTGCTCTCCCTGCTTGGAACTTTTTGTCCGGATGTACCCTTTGTAAATCTTTTGGGATATGAGTTAGATCCAATGTACTATTCTGTATATTTGTGTTATGAACACATCCAGTATGTGCCCCTCCCAAATCGTACCACCATTAAACATTAAAGCTTAATGTATAGTGGTCTTAAAGCCTAAAAACCCAAACTTATGCAAAACATACGGACAATTCTTTTCGCCACTATATGTGTCACGGCCGGATGGTTCCTCACGATTGATTGCAGCGTAAGCCGGGTTCGGTTGGAACTGTGTTTGTGTCAGAGCGAGTTGTTGTTCGTCAACGGAACTGTGAGGCGGAGAGTCAGGTACACAGCAATCCATTCGAGCCATACAACTGACGACGTTCCTTGCGTCCTGTGCAAAGCGGTTCGTCGGAGCTGTTGGGCGCTGTTGAGTTGAAGCGACCGGATTCGGTGATGGACGTGGCGCTCGAGGTTGGTACTACGAGAACTGCGGCTGCTGCTGCTTCTGTTGCTGCTCCTGCCTCGGACAGTTGAAGCGTGAGTGTCCCGTCGTGCGGTATCGATGACAATACGGAGGTTAGTGTCGTTTCTGATGATTATGGTTGTTGTTGTTCTTGCGCCCGTGCACGTAGAACGCGAGTTGTTGACAGGGTTTCTTGGCGTGTCTCTCTTCATACAGGTCCATGTCTTGCTGCTCGGCGTGGAGCTCCACGCATAGGTGCATTTCGGAAATTTGCCCGTGAGTGCGTAGAAGGGAGCGTGTCGTGCGCCACTGTGGACCGATGCCAGCAAGGACGACCGTGACGAAGGAGTCCTCCGATAAGTGTCATCTGCTTCGCAAGAGTTTGTCACGTAGGCCTACTGCGATTTATGTAAGGCATTGCCTTTTCTCCTGGTTGCATCTGAATTGTCATGAGTTGTGTCATTAGTTGTGTCACGTTGTCAGTCGCTCGGTATACGCTCTTCAGATGGCAGTATGCTTGTTCTGCCGAATTGCCGAAGTTGCGATACGTCCGGATGCTCTGCTGCTCTGTTGGTGTCAGGTTCCGCAAGAGGATGGTGAAGGCCATCAGCGACTGATAAGTGTAGAATTTCTTCTCCTGAGTAGTCTGATTGCAGGAAATGGCCAGGAGCCGGTGAAGAAACTGAGGATTTGCGCGATGTCCATCAGCAACTCGAGCTCAAAGCTCCAGGCGAAGAAGTCCTTCCCGTTGAAAGGTGAGGATGTCTGTAGTTTCGGGATATTGTTGAACTGCTGTTGCATGGTGACGATGTTTGACTGCTTGTCAGCTGTCGTTAAGTCCACTGCCGGCGCGGGAGTTGGCAGGAAGGTGAACGAGCCTGG